TCAAGAGGTGGGGTAATCAGGATTTGTTCAAGCTTTATTGAGTCGGACTCTATTTTGATTTCTAGGTCCAGGAGACCGAGCTATTGCTCCGCCTGTGTTCCCTCCATTGAAGATTACCAACACGATATATGTGTAGTATACGAACGTATCTGTCCCTCCAATACATCTGACTTCAAGCGTAAGTGTTAGATGGAATATCCACCGTAACTAGGTTCATTTGACGCCTCATAGAATGAGTGAGGGAGTTTAGTATTACACCGTTTTTAAGCAATATTCCAGCAATATCACGGCGGCTGACGCAAGAAATGGCCTTCACATATTACCCATGAGTGGAATCGAACCCGCATTTTCTGCGTGACAAGAGAACACTTTAACCAATAGGCTACCCCAACGACCCTACGTCTGTTAGACGTTCAGTCACCTGGTAACCTACAGCTATAAGCTGAAGCATTCGTCCTTCGTGTCAATGATCGGGTTCGATTCCCTGCATGTGTACAATGTGTGAATACGTTTTCGTTGTACTGGCACGGGCGGCCAAACCATGAGCAGAGTTGCCTCCCTTGGGAAACGTATGATCATCGGTTCAGATTCCCGGCTCTCTCGGATTAAGTTTCTGGCTTAGTCGGCACCATATCCGTGCTCGTGGGGGTTGCCAAAGTCTGGAACCTGCAACATTTCTACAACATTTCTCAAGAAATCACGTCGTGATATAAATGATAAACCCAACTCACCCTACACTTTTGCTTAAAGTCGCGTTAACCTCCAAAATCTGTACAAAGCTAAACAGTATCTGACGTGACAATGTCATGTACCCTTCCAGCGTACACACCCAACGCTGAGTGAGTGAGTGAGTGAGTTTAGTTTTACGCCACACTCAGCAATATTCCAGCTATATGGCGGCGGTCTGTAAATAATCGAGTCTAGATCACACAATCCAGTGATCAACAACATCAGCATCGATCTGCGCAATTTGGAACCGATGATATGTGTCAACGAAGTCAGCGAGCCTGACCACCCGATCCCGTTAGTCGCCTCTTACGACAAGCATGGTTGCTGAAGATCGATATTCTAACCCGGACCTTCACGTGTACCCAACGCAGAGTGAGTGAGTTTAGTATTACGTCGCTTTTAGCAATATTCCAGCAATATCACAACGGCGTACACCAGAAATGGGCTTCACACATTGTATCCATGTAGGGAATCGAACCCGTGTCATCGGGTAAAAGCGATTAAAACAGCCGAAGATGTACATAACATCAACAGAAGCATTAATCCCGTAAACCCACGTTAGAATCTTGTGTCGCGTCGCTGCAACGCAACTTGTATTATTATGGCCTCCAGTTGCCCGAGGCCATCTCGAGAAAGCAATGTCGTCAGCGATGTGTGATATGAACTGGACAGTCACATAAAAGAACATTACATCTTGACCGCAGGGAATGGCCAATATTTCATTATGAGAACGTGTGTCTCTCACCTAATTACGACGAAGTGTCTGGACACATGTAGGATCTGACACCAAAGCTCCGGGAATATGAGTTTATTCTATTGCCAGCAGTATATCATTTTTATCAGAGAAAGAGGACATTTTAGATGGAAAAATACGTATTATTAATAAAATATTAAAACACATTTCTTTTTATCATGTATCTATTTTATTTCTTAAATTCATTTCATTTGGAAATGTGTATTTTCTAGAAAAAGAAACTGGAGACGAAGAAAACATAGACTCATTTCATTCAGCTCTTTTAAATGACTGAAATGGTTGGCAAGAGCGGTAAGGAACATAACATAGTTCAGGGACTGTTAGAGCGGTGGGGTAGCCTAGTGGTTAAAGCGTTCGCTCGTCACGCCGAAGGCCCGGGTTCTAATCCCCACATGGGTACAATGTGTGAAGCCCATTTCTGGTGTCCCCCGCCGTGATATGCTAAAACGGCGTAAAACCCAACTCACTCACTCACTCACTCACTCAGGGACTGTGAGGCTACACGCGAATGTGTTTTATCAACATTTAAACCTCCCGGCTCTGCGCGCACTCTGCCATATAGCTGCAATATTACTGTGTGCGGCGATAACCAACAAACAAAGCGAGTACCATACATTCAGAAAACCCGGTTATAACGACTGTTATCCAACAGAAGTCTCTTATGTCATGTCATCGTAAAACCTTGGGGGAAGCGTGGCTAAACATCATAAAATGTATCGTAAATACGTTACATTTTATGCCAAGGCAAATACGTGTTCATTTTCACCTTGACATCAAATCAACTACGCACTTGAAACAGGAAGACCTCTTGTGGCTTTGGACATTTCGAAGCGGTTCTTTTCATCGACGTCGGAGAAAATGTGTATATATGATTCAGTTGCGACCTTAAATGGTTATTTAAACACAAAATATTATCTAAAGTGTTACTTAATTCTTGTGATATTTTCTTGCACTTCTTGCACTCAGCCATGACAGGAATTGTCGTTTCGAAGCTATTATCACCCAACTTGAAGCGAGAGACGAGTGTTTAAAACGTTGCCATGTTACGTACGGTTTCCCATCTCGATCGTTGAGAATGTTTGCAACAAATGTGAGGATATTATTGGTATTATCTTGTTTGTTACGTTTTTAGAATGAGGAACCCCTTGTTAGTCGTAAAAATAAAGAGAATCGAAAGGTTAAACTCGTGCGGAGTTGGTTGGGGAGTTTAGTGGTTAAAGCGTTCGCTCGTCACGCCGAAGACCCGGGTTCGATTCTCCACGTGTGGGGGAGGGGGTGGGGGTTTTGCACACTCTTGGGAAAGGGGGTGTGGGGGTTTGATTGTGGGTAGCTTAGTGGATTCCCCAGGGTGTGTTCCCCGGCAGGACGTGGAAGGACAAATGCAACAATGGTTGGTTGGTTGGTTTGTTGTTTAACGCTGCACTCAGCAGTATTTCAGCTATGGCGGTGGTTAGAAAACCTCAGCACCCGATCCCTTTGGCAGGGACCAACAAGTACATATTTTAACGTCTTTTGGCATGACGCGGCCGGGGATTGAACCCGCAACCTTCCGCTCTCCGGGTGGACGCTCTAACCACTACACCACGGAAGCGGTCTCATGTCGAAGACCAAACTCCCTCACTCACTTTGTTCTTCTTATCAGTCATATGTTTGCCTGGCCCAAAGTAGATTATTTACCCTCTATCGTGCTGAAACGTAAACACTACTGGAACAGTCTTTTCATCATTGTGCACATCTGGTAAATGAGTGAATACTAGTATGTGTTTACGACGTTTTTAGCAATATCCCAGCAGTATCACGGCGCGGGACACCAGAAAACGGCTTCACATATTGCACCCATTTAGGGAATCGAACCCGGCCTTCGGCGCGAAGAGCGAACGGTTTAATCACAAGGCCACCCCTACCCTGTAAACATGCACTCATTGCCTGTAATCATTTCCATGTAAATGCACCTGCATTCTGTGCAACCGTGAACATCATGCGTGCGCTTACACATCGACTGTGAACACAAAAATCCGAGGATGCATTTCTGCCAGCTTTTATAGCAACTTAAGAATCTAAATTCAAATTTATAGTCATTTCTGTTTTACCAAAGGAAGCGATATAATCGTAAAATAGGAAACTTTGTAGATAGCGAATATTACGAAGCCATTACTCTGGAATTATTGTAGAGATTTATTGTAAGAGGGTCTAATCAGGTTCTTCGGCTCAACTTCTTAATGTTTCCGTGGACATATATATCTTAACATCTTCCGTTGTTTGGATGCTGTGTTCTTGGGACTATATCCTTAACAGCCGTGTTCCCAGAGCACGCTGCTATTGGTGCATCTGAAACCTACTTAATTATCGTTAAGGATTAACCTAGACGAGCTGAGGAACCGAACACATTTGCTGTTATCACGAACGCTACTTACAAATTAAATGGTTGACAAAGACAGTGACTAAACGTTCTCTGTTGACTCGGAAGCGGTACAACAACCCTTCCAATGGAAGCTTCTTATCCGAGCACCATGAGTTTGTATTGTCACTCTCGCTTCTTCTATTCTGTCTCTCTATCTCTCTGTCTCTCTATCTCCCTCTCTTCCTCTGTGCTCTCTCTCTTCCTCTGTGCTCTCTCCCTCTCGCTCTCTCTCTCGCTTCCTCAGTGCTCTCCCCCCTCTCTCTCGCTTCCTCTATGCTCTCTCTGTCTTTACCTCTGTGCCCTCTCTTTCTCTGTGCTCTCCCTCTCTCTCTCTCTCTCTCTCTCTCTCTCTCTCTCTCTCTCTCTCTCTCTCTCTCTCTCTCTCTTAAATGCCACACCTCTCTCTCTCTCTTCCTTAGCCCCCCTTGATTATTGCCACACCACTATTATATCACTATTATTCTGATATCACTTATGAACACTTCTGATCAGAAATGATCCTCAGACGTCTGAAACATCTCGTTTCCGGCTGCTACTATTCTTGGTGCACTGAAACTGAGCCTAAAGACAAACATACACCTCCCACACCCCGTACTGAGCAACCTTGTCAGGTGGTCAGGCTCGAGGACCTGGGAGATGACAAAACATCGTAAGCCGACAACGGAAATGATTGCTCCTAATATCAATCAGTGATTGGAATTCAAATACAGACTGGTCTTGCAGCGCTCCGTGATTGTCGGTAGACCCCTGATAATTCCCCATGAATATATTGAGAAGTGTTATCCTGAGTGATCGTGTATGGCTTTACGTCGCTTAAAATTAGCAATATTAAAGCAATATTACGGTAGGGTACACCAGAAATGGTCTTCACACATTGTACTCTGGTGGGGAATCGAACCTGCGTCTTCGGCGGGACGAGAGAATGCTTTAACCACTAGACTACCCAACCAACCCCGCACGAGTTTAACCTTATTAATTATTTTACGATTAGCAAGGGGTTCCACATTCTAAAAACGTAACAAACAAGATAATAACAATAATATTCTCACATTTGTTGAAACACCCCACCGCCCCTGTAATCTTGAACACAGCGTTTTAGTAAATGAATTACATGCTTGTTGATTACCTGGCTGTTCTAATAGCAAAGTGGTCCTCCCTCGTAAGAAGTACCCAAAAGTGACAACAAAATAATGATCGTTTGTTAAACAACTTTTTTATTCGGGTGTCCAAAATTATGGGACAAATCATCAAAGTTGGTCAGTCGATTTCGTGTGACTGTGCAAAAAATGGTTTTGTTGCAATTATTAGATTTTGTGTAAGTGAGCAATTCATCGGTCTATAATGAAGTCAAACGGACTGTATCATTAACTATATTCATTGAAATTTTCGTCAACCTATGCAACATCTTATCAGCAAGTTACAACCGGAATGTCCACATTCCACAGAAAATCTATTTTACACGGCTCGTATCCGGAAAAAGTCGCCAGAAAGCAACATCGCAAACTCATCAACCAGAGCAACAAATCAGTCTAGTAAACTCTGAATAGTTGTCACACATTAATATGCCAAAAAAAGACCTATAGAATATTCATAAATATGGAAGACACGGGTTAAAAGCCAATTTACGCTCCGAATTCGCCGAGAAGAACTGCATTTCTTTTATACGAACCCCTTGATTAGGGGTTTAAGATAAGACGCACGGATTATGATACCTGGTTTAACACCACCTCCATGGTTCAATAAGTACAGCATCTGCACGGATGGCGGAAGTTCGGTGGCACGATTCCTTGACCGCGCCATACCAAATTGCATTAAAGAAGGTACTTATTGTTACCCTGCCCTCGCTCGGCATTTATAGGATAAAATATGGACTGACTGGTTCGACGACAATACAAGGTGTCTAAGTGTGCTATCGCGTGGTCCTGGTTCTGTGCTCAAAGCTCAGGTCACAAATCGGTGAAGTTAAGCAGCGTCGAGCTCGGAGAGTCCTTGGATGGATGACCGTGTTTGGCAGCTTGACTCCTGAGAGTTTCTAGGACTTCAGTCCTGCCCCACAACGAAGCACATGTGACACATGTGGTCTCACCTTAGGCAAGTGAGTTTGTTCAAAATTGTCTCTGTGCACCCAGCAGAAAAATGGGTACCCGGTGGAAAAAGTCATATGACTATAACCTTCTAGCGCCTAACAGGCAGCTTGGGTTATCCGGGGTAATAATGTGCTGTGCCTTGATTGTTAGCGCTATGAGCATACCTAGTGTGGAGTTTGGCGCTATATAAATGGACACGTTATTATCTAAGAGTAACTTCCGTGTGGTATCTCGATGAGACAACACTGTATAACCAACACTTCGAGGACTTGTACAAGAACCCATGCTTGTCGTAAGAGGCGACTAACGGGATCGGGTGGTCAGGTTTCCTGACTTGGTCGACTCATGTCATCATATCCCAACTGCGCGCGTAGATCGATGGTCATGATGTTGATCACTGGATTGTCTGGTCCAGACTTGATTGTTTACAGACCACCTCCATATAGCTGGAATATTGCTGAGTGTGGCGTAAAACTAAACTCACTCACTCACTCAGCGTTGGGTGTGTACGCTGGAAGGGTCCATGACACTGTCACGTCAGATACTGTTTAGCTTTGTACAGATTTTAGAAATTAATGCGACTTTAAGCAAAAGTTGGGAGTGAGTTGGGTTTATTATTTATATCACGGCGTGATTTCTTGAGAAATGTTGTTAGACGTGTTGTTAGAAATGTTGTTAGACGTGTTGTTAGACGTGTTGCGGCGTTAAACAACATGCAAACAAACAATACAAGCCAGTTACTAAACAAGCGAAATAATCTTGAAACCTTCCACTTCATTTCTGGATTTGTCAGCACCATACCATTTGTCTGCGAATCCATTCCATTTAAGTGGTAACCTCTTACAACCTGTGTTACCCTAACACATCCCCATCCCACTCCCGTCGTTTTAAGTGGCAAACGCTCACTCCAACTGGCCAATTACACACCTTTAATATTTACATGATTCGGTCTTCTGATAACTCTGATCAGATTAATCCGCAGCTATTCGACAAAATAAGCAGCCATGAACAAAACGTTTAAAAGCCATCAGATGTCCTACACGTGAAAGGAGGTATCATGTTACAAACATTAATCGGGATGCCTTGTAGTGGCCTTCTTGTAGTCTGGTAGCTGATTACAGCGTCGGTTCCGTCAACAGATGGCGACCAGTTAAATGGAAGGTCAAGGTCGGAGAGACAGAGATAAATCGGAAGTGACCGAGGTCATTGAATCGGTCAAACAGACTTTGCCTAAGTACCTCTGCAACCCAATAACGTTTAATCACTTTGCAAAAATTGTTGACTTTAGGAGTCATTTGGTTCACAGTTTTAGCATCGATACGAAATGTTCGATTTGTTTATATAAGCGTGTTAGAGAGTAGTACAAGTCCTTTCCACACAAAGATTACAAAACGTTATAAACTCACAAAGTTCAACTCATGGGAGATTAGATTTTGTAAATTTGATTACTTTTAATTGTCGACTTACACAGGGCTATTATAACAGTGAGGGTGAGTTTGGTTAAGTACGGAATACTGAAAGAGATGGTTTCTTCTCGCATTATCGCGATCTCGGCCTGGTGCTAACGTGTGAAAACACGAGATTTTGGCTCTTGCGATCTTGCATTCAGTGTATGGATATTCACTGATCCGTTCGCAAATTTTCACCATTTCTAATGGAATATGCTCCCCAGGGAGTTGAGATTGATAACACGATGTGCCGTTGAGACTGACATCCAATGATCGAGGAAAAAAATAAAAACATTTTTTAAAAATACCAGCGCCTTGAGCAAGCACTAGCTATAGTTGCCTGGATATGTGCACTATATAAATATCATATAATAATAATATAATAATATGTTTGGGTAGATAATTGAGATTATTCTCTGTCGTATATGTTTCACATGCTATGGTTCTGTTTTATCCACTGATTATGTCAAATTGAAGAGTTAAAGGACATGTTTGCTTTGAAAATATCAGACATTTTGACAACTTTGGACAACGAGCCGTAATGTTTTTCGTAAACTTGCACATTTAATGATCAATTAAAAGAGAATCGCTGAAATTTGTGATTAAGGCAACACTGATAGAAACCACCCGATTCTTGGAAACGTGTTTCAACATTCGCCATGTAACGTGAATATTTATACCATTTTAAAACATGTTGATTTTAAAGCTTGCAGTTTCCATAGTACAGAGAGCGACAAATCATTCCTTCTCACAACCGCCACATAGCTGGAATATTTCTGAGTGCGCCGTTAAACAACAAACCAGCCAACCAACCAACCAACCAACCTTCATAACGGTGACACAAAGACTTCCTCAACGTCCCCCCTCCCCCCCCCCCCCAAGTGGTCATAGCGCAGTTTCTCAGAAGGCGGCGTCGTTTAAACGTTTACATAACGGGAAACAGTTTTGTATCCATATTGATTTTGCTTTTAGAAATTCAGCCAGCAAACACATTCACCTGGCAGATTGATGGATTATTATATTACTACCGGGCGATCCGTACCTGTAGTATGATGTCCTCAACGAACACCAGAGGAAAGCTTTGTAATAGACTAAATATTATCAGCATGTATTGAAATACTTGAGAGGGAAATGTTGTGTTGCGCACAAAGGAATAATCCCTTTTCAAATACGTTAACTTGATTAATAGTAATGTTTCATAGAAGACGTGTTGATAGACACGTTTTCACGACAAGTACTTTCAGTAATGAGTCGTTGGCTATCTTTTCATTTGAAAGTATGAATAGAACTAGTGGCTATTTTAGTTACGAAATAGTCGTTTGATATTCACACCATAAGAATATTCGTTAGTTAATAGCCTCTGTTTAGTTACGAAATAGTTGTTGGGTATTCACACCTTCAGAAGTTTCGTTGGTTTATAGTCTACATTTTTAGTTACGAAGTAGTCGTTTGATATTCACAGCATAAGAATATTCGTTGGTTAATATTCTCTATTTTATTTATGAAGTAGCTGTTTGATATTCACACCATGATGATATTCGTTGGTTAATTGTCTACATTTGTCGTTACGAAATAGATATTTGATATTCACACCAAAAGAATATTCTTTGGTTAATATTCTCTATTTTACTTATGAAATAGTTGTTTTATATTCACACCATAAGAATATTAGTTCGTTTAGTCTCTTAGTGATGATGGAACAGCACCTGCGTGTAATGGGAATTGTATAATTTAAGGTTGTCAATGACCGACTATTGTATTTCAGAAAGTTCAGAAAGAATAATCTTTAACTGCAACACAATAAATGTATTATTTCATAATATGTTCTATAGATTATGGCTTAGTGCTTTAATTTACATGAAAACGTAAAATAACACCTGTGGGAAAATGTTAAAAGATAAAAGGTATGGGATGGTTTTATCGCTGTCTATCTGCATCAGAGCAAAACTGGATAATTACCTTGGCTTAGAAACCCCTTCTTCATGATCCTTGTCACTTGGATGACTATATTAAATGTCACGACCCGCTTTAGTGTATGAAAACATTTGTCATCCAAATGGCATCCTCGTCAAGCAGAACGCAAGCAAATGAACAAACAATCATTGATTCAATTAGGACAACATGGCACCAAATGAACATTGACAGATTTATTGACATCAATTTCTCAGCCTGTCAAAGAGGACGAATATATGAATATACCAAGGCACAATAGACAGGGCTCACACTTTGGTAGGTTTAGTAGCAATTAAATGCAATAAAAATGTTCGAGTGACATTTGACATTGTAATATTCTCAACGAGAACGTACGATACTTCTGATGTGATATCAGATTGCATGGCAGGGTTGTTTCAAAATGTCGATGATTTGTGATAAACGGAGTGGCAATCGATCGTTTTGTTTACTTAAGCGATGGTTATCATAGAAAATTACATTATGAATTGATTACATGGATTAAAGAGACGTAGGCGATCTATCATACTGCACACTTAAAGTGAATGACATGACTAGAAGCGAGGGCAGTAATTTGTATATATTTTTAGAGTTAGAGTGCATCATTGACAGTAGGGAAATGGTTATTTATTGACTTTTAGAAAGCTAATTTTATATTGCATAGGTTTGTCATTTCCAGAAGTAATTTGTGTTTTAAAATGTACAGAAATACTCCTACTCATTCCAATCCATAAAGGTAAAGGTACACATTCATGGAAACATATACTCAAAAATTATTTTCGAATTAAAATATAACACCCGGTGGTTGAAGGTCTAAGTCTATAAGCTCTATAAACATTCCGCGACCGTCTATATCCAAGAAAATGTCTGTTTGATACGAGAATGACAACATTTTGCAGTGTGGCAAGACTGTCAGTTTAATTATCAGGTGTTTCCTCAGGCATAAGGTGATAGAAAATAGTTCCTACGACCAGCAAGCAGTCGTTGAAACCTAGTGGCAACAGACGCTGCCCAGAACTGCTGGTGGTTTGGTTAGCGTTCGAGAAGGAAATGTTTTGAGGAAACATATTTGGGTAAAGAAATGCAGTATGCTCTAAAAGAAGTATATATCACTGTTCAATTGTATCCAAGTTCTATGTGAATCTTTATATTTCAAAGCTTCGTTTTTTTCGAAATAGTGTTGGCTCCATATGTACAAACCATTTTCATGGGAATCAATATCGTGTTTTCTCTTTTTCCGGATAGAAGTCTTTCACCATCCCAGATTACACACCACTTTCATGAAAATCCATCTAAATCGAAATTTCTTATAACTCTAAATACAAAAAAAAATCCCCAAAGGTTCCCCCATTTTTTATCTCTTACTTGTATGTCTTATCTCTTATCTTATCTCTAGTTTTTGATCTCTCACTGTTCAGTATAATACCAAATATTTCGTACTTATTCTGCTACACCAGGATCCTAATGGTTCTTCCTTTGTTATAGTATAATACAAAATATTTCAGACATATTCTGTAATAACAGGATCTTAATGGTGCTTCCTTTGTTCAGTAAATTACAAAATATTTCGGGCATATTCTGTTACACCCGGATCCTAATGGTTCTTCCTTTTATGGAACCAATAACAGCTGACGAACATTCTTGCAACAGACATCTAGTTGAGTTGACGTAAAACTTCAGCTCAACTCAACTACTCCAATAAAGACACAGCGTCATGCATATAACATATTGTAATTGTATCACAGCACAATACCTTCTTATCAAGCTGATTTTCCTAAAGGTAACAGAGTGATAAAAAGTTTACCCGACAGAAAAGCGATTTGTAAACAGGATTCTAATGCACGAAGTCAGCGATGGACATGTGCGACTCGTCATAAGATCAAAGATTCGGCGGACCTAATTGCTTTCCCCTAAGGAGTTCCTAGTTGTTTACGGAGCTCGGGCCGACAGATAACGGTAAGGTACATCAAGTGGATTGACTCTGAGAGCATTGTAGTTTCATCAACTGACGGATCTAACCTATGGGCTCTGCTAGCCGCCCGCGCCCGTCGTCTTCCTGAATCAATAGCTGCTAACTAACAATCACGTGGATTTGAATAAACTGATAAAAAAGAAAATTGTAAATTAAGGCACTTGGGGTTCAGATGGATCACAGTGTTGGTAAGCTTATGAGTGTGTTGCGATTTGATGGCCTGGTTACAGCAATTATATTTTGACAGTTTAAAAAGACACGGCTGCATTTTATGCACAAGCGTATACACGAGGTTTTGCTGTAGAAGTGTAGGTGTAACAAAATACAGTATTCCTGTGTGAAATCTAAAATTTTCCTACAATCCATAGTTCATGACCCAGTTTGGTCGACATCAACTCCGCTTTAAACAGTTATTTATTTATTTATTTATTTGAGATAAACTTCTCTTTAAACGGTTATTCATTTATTTGAGATTAACTTCTATTTAAACGGTTATTCATTTATTTATTTATTTGAGATCAACTTCTCTTTAAACGGTTAATTATTTATTTGAGATCAACTTCTCTTTAAACGGTTATTCATTTATTTGAGATCAACTTCTCTTTAAACGGTTATTCATTTATTTGAGATCAACTTCTCTTTAACCGGTTATTAATTTATTTGAGATCAACTTCTCTTTAAACGGTTATTTATTTATTTATTTATTTATTTGAGATCAACTTCTCTTTAAACGGTTATTTATTTATTTATTTATTTCAGATCAACTTCTCTTTAAACCGTTATTCATTTATTTGAGATCAACTAGTCTTTAATCAATTTTCCATTTATTGAGATCAACTAGTCTTTTAACAGTTTTCCATTTATTGAGATCAGCTAGCCTTGAAACAATTTTCCATTTATTTTATGTTTTGTCAGCTGATTATTATACGAAACCCGATTCAGGTTAAGGAGGTGATTATGATCGAGCCCAGATTTAGCGGATCCTGCAATAGCACATAACTACCAAACCGCCCTCGACCTCTTATCCACCCTAATAAGAAACCAGATGTCAACTAATGGCAATACCCATGGAAGACACTGACAGTGTTGTGATCCGTTTTGTTTATCATTTGATTTATTTACGGTGTTCTACATCGATCGGAGGACAAGAATCCCAAACCAGGTTACATCCTACTTGGTGATAACACTCGACCAGCTGATTGCTTTACATCGTTATTGCCAAGTCCAAACTCAACGTCCTTGATGATGTTACCACGAAGCTGACACCGATGTCCTGATTGACATTACATCCAGAATCAGGCGTTGAATTTGACCATCTGTCGTCGGCAAGGTGTCGATGAATTACTGGTTTTAATGCGTAATACCCCGTGACACAATACAGAATAAATAGGTATCTCACAATACGATATTTATGATGCATGATACGAGATTTCCCCCATAACATGACATATACAATGAGATCCATCATGTGTATAATACGCATGATATATGTGATTCGAATCACAATATTCACTAACGATACGACACTTATATAGTACAAGCAACCAGTTACCTCACAATACCACATTCCTATTTGCAATATTACGCCCAATATTGCGTTATTTGCCTCCATGGCCAAACTTATACCAGGTAACCGTTAAAATCCGGATTCCAATCGATCTATAGCAACCCATGCTTGTCCTAAGAGGCATTATCGGGGTAGGGTTGTCAGGCTTACTGTCTTGGTTGATGCATATCATCGTCTCCCAACTGCGTTTGTCAATGCTCTTGATGTCAATCATTAGATAGTCTAGTCCAGACTCGATTATTTACAAACCGCCACCATATATCTGGAGTGCGGATTGACAGTAGGGAAATGGTTATTTATTGACTTTTAGAAAGCTAATTTTATATTGCATAGGTTTGTCATTTCCAGAAGTAATTTGTGTCTTAAAATGTACAGAAATACTCCTAAACATTCCATTCCAAAGGTAAAGGTACACATTCATGGAAACATATACTCAAAAATTATTTTCGAATTAAAATATAACACCCGGTGGTTGAAGGTCTAAGTCTATAAGCTCTATAAACATTCCGCGACCGTCTATATCCAAGAAAATGTCTGTTTGATACGGGAATGACAACATCTTGCAGTGTGGCAAGACTGTCAGTTTAATTATCAGGTGTTTCCTCGGGCATAAGGTGATGGAAAATAGTTCCTACGACCAGCAAGCAGTCCCTGAAACCTGGTGGCAACAGACGCTGCCCAGAACTGCTGGTGGTTTGGTTAGCGTTCGAGAAGGAAATGTTTTGAGGAACATATTTGGGTAAAGAAATGCAGTATGCTCTAAAAGAAGTATATATCAGTGTTCAATTGTATCCAAGTTTTACGTGAATCTTTATATTTCAAAGCTTCGGTTATTTCGAAATAGTGTTGGCTCCATATGAACAAACCATTTTCATGGGAATCAATATCGTGTTTTCTCTTTTTCCGGATAGAAATCTTTCATCATCCCAGATTACACACCACTTTCATGAAAATCCATCTAAATCGAAATTTCTTATAACTCTAAAATACAAAAAATCCCCAAAGGCTCCCCCATTTTTTATCTCTTACTTGTATGTCTTATCTCTTATCTTATCTCTAGTTTTTTCGACTTACTCTCAATGTTCAGTATAATACCATGTTCTGTATATTTCGTACTTATTCTGCTGCTACACCAGGATCCTAATGGTTCTTCCTTTGTTAAGTATAATAGCAAATATTTCAGACATATTCTGTGATACCATGATCTTAATGGTGCTTCCTTTGTTCAGTAAAATACCAAATATTTCGGTCATATTCTGTAATACCAGGATCTTATAGATTCGTCCTTTGTTCAGTATAATACCAAATACTTCGGACATATTCTGTTACACCCGGATCCTAATGGTTCTTCCTTTTATGGAACCAATAACAGCTGACGAACATTCTTGCAACAGACATCTAGTTGAGTTGACGTAAAACTTCAGCTCAACTCAAGTACTCCAATAAAGACACAGAGTCATGCATATAACATATTATAATTGTATCACAGCACAATACCTTCTTATCAAGCTGATTTTCCTAAAGGTAACAGAGTGATAAAAGTTTACCCAACAGAAAAGCGATTTGTAAACAGGATTCTAATCCACGAAGTCAGCGATGGACATGTGCGACTCGTCATAAGATCAAAGATTCGGCGGACCTAATTGCTTTCCCCTAAGGAGTTCCTAGTTGTTTACGGAGCTCGGGCCGACAGATAACGGTAAGGTACATCAAGTGGATTGACTCTGAGAGCATTGTAGTTTCATCAACTGACGGATCTAACCTATGGGCTCTGCTAGCCGCCCGCGCCCGTCGTCTTCCTGAATCAATAGCTGCTAACTAACAATCACATGGATTTGAATAAACTGATAAAAAAG